CGCTCCTGCATCCGTGGTGGCTGCCCACAGTCCCCCGCGCTCCTGCATCCGTGGTGGCTGCCCACAGTCCCCCGCGCTCCTGCATCCGTGGTGGCCCAGGCCTGAGCACCGGCCTGGGGCACATCAGCCAGTGACATGAGGGGCGTGTTTCCAGGTCAGAGTGTGGCTCTCCTTACTCTCCGGGCTGCCCAGCATCCTGACACCTCGTGGGCTTGGTGGCCCTTCCTACTTGCAGGTGGCTGTCGTGAACTCAGCAGGCCCCTGTCAGCAAAGACTTTCTGTGGCCACTTTTTATATTTGTAAGGAAGAATGTGAGGCATCGAAACAAACGAAAAACTTCGATCCTCACCGGAGCACGCGGGTCAGGAGGGCCACCAACTCTCTTCTCCTCGAGGGGACCCACGGGACACACCGGGTTCTAAAGTAACCATGGCGGCACAGACCACACGGCGGGGCCTGGGGGGGCGTGTCCTGTGCTGTGTGCCCCTGCGCACTGTCCAGTTCCGACTCCAGACTCCTGGATCTCGGCAGTGCCAGCTTCACCATTTTTGCCTATGAACAAACTCAGACCTAAGAGGTGTGCACCCTGAGGGCCACACAGGCCGTACATGGTGACAGGAGGACTTGACCTGGACACAGTGGCTTTGGGCTGAGTGTTTATTTTGCCTCTGGTGCATGAGCATGGGGTGGGCCTGCCCTGGACGTGTACACCAGCAGGCTTGGGGGGGGGTGCAGCCAGGAAGTTGGCCTTGGGACCTTCTGTAGACCACCCAGTTCCCTCAGTGACAGTCCCTTGAGCTGTGTCTTCCTCGCTGTGTAAATCTAAATGGAGAAGGAGSTGATGTCAGCTTTCACTTCCTGCTGGGGACCTGTGTGCTCGTGCAAGGCACGGCCAGCGGGGTCGCGCCTCTGAGCTTCTGACCCTAAAGGTGCGAAAGAAAGAAGTTAGCCCCCCGCTTCTCAGGCCTCCAGGTACCCCCACATCTCTCATGCCTGTGACCCCTCACGCTTTCTCTTAACGTCAAGTTAATGGTGTAAAAGACCCATTTTTGAAAGCAAAGAAAGTCGAGCGCCTGACAGGACAGATGCTGCCTCTTTGCAGGTTCCTTCCTGGGGACAGAGGTGCTGGAAGGTGCAGCCAGAGGACGTTTGCTGGACTCTGGTTCAAGGATGCTTGTTCATTCCAGTCGTAGCACGTGGCGGAAAGTATGCGAAAGAGCTATTGAGAAGTCAGTGTAGGAATAACCTGGTGCCACCGGTCATAATTGTCGCCCTCACCAACATGCYGGACATCTTGCTGCATCCTCATGAGGACCCTATGAGGCCTAGGGATGTGAGATCCTCATAGTTTGGATTAAAGGCAGAGAGAGGTCTAGTGTCTTATCCCAGGTCACACAGCTAGTTGGAGGAATCAGGGATCTGAAGCCAGCTCTAATGTTCCAAAGTTGAGGGAGCCCAGGAGTAAAGAGGACTGAGGTGACATGGAGGGGAATTGTCCCGGCTGCAGGGGGTGCTCGGGGTTACAGTCAGCATGTGGCAGAGAACACTGGGGTGGCAGGGACTCCTCCTGCACCCTGGGGCTGCTTTTCCCCTCTCAGACCTGCTGGGCCAGGGGAGCCCTCAGGGTGTGGTGGCCCGTCCTTTGCCATGGGCWCTCCTGGGGCTGAGCTCTGTGGAAGGTTCAGGGGCCCTGCTTCCCTCCCAGGCATGAGCTCCTGAAGACGGGCCTCCCCCACCCGGGAACCGTACTCCGTGTAGAACCAGCCAAGTTCTGGTGGCGGCAGAGCTCAGCCTGGCCGGCGAGCGCTGGGCGAGGGCCACGAGCAGACACTGACCATTGCTTCCTCTGTGAACGTCTGACCTGACCTCTGGCCCAGGGCTCGCTTTGCGGTCAGCGCAGGAGGACACTCTTTTGGAAGGGGACCCATCTGAGTCGCCGCACTCCTGGTGGTCACCTCTCTTGAGAGGGGTCACGCGGCTCTGTTGGGTGGCCTTTGACCCGTCTGTGACGTGGAAACGAGGATTGAGATCTTTGCTCATGGAAGGACCAAGCCCTGAGGACCTCTGTTCAGCCGCCTTGATGTCCAGCTGTGTGTCCTTTCCTGCTTCCCTCTGCGCAGTGTCTGGTGTTGGGACTTCCTCTCGGGCCCCTCAGCAGCCCGTGGAGCTGCCGACTCTCTGGGATACTCAATCACAAAGTATCTCCCTGCAGCGTGGTGCAGAGACTGCCTGGGGGTACCTTGTCCGTCCGCAGGGACCTCGTGCCGTAGTTAGATGGGCACGTTCCTTTGCTGAGGCCGGGGATGGGACCCAGCGCCTCTGCAGGCTCAGCTTGGCTCCTGGCTCCTCCTTTTTTGATTTCTCAGGGACTTCATCTGACAGCCCAAGGCCGCAGACCTGGTTGTCACAGAGGTCTCCAGCTTGTCCACTGCTTCTTCTTTGCAAGATCTTCCAGGTGGCGCCTACCTTCCTAGCAACCTCTTTGTGTTAATGGTGGGGTGGTGGTGGGCCATTCCGGTAGGTTCCAACAATGCTTGCAGCCCAGATTTCTCAGGTTGAGCTTTAGAGCTGAGACCACGTGGGTCCAGGTCTGAACTGTCACGGAAGATGCTATCGGCCATGCTCAAGGAAGGGACGGACGGGGGCTCTGTGGTCAGATGTCAGGGTGGGCCACCCACTGCAGCCCATCTAGGGGTTCCTCTGCAGGTGAGCCTGGGGGAGTCCTGTAGTCAAGAGACCCATCYGACTTTGACTCAGCGTTTTCCAAATACTCATTAGCTTGTAGAAGTTTCCCCATCTCGTAAAACCCTTTCATATCCTTCAGAGTCCATGTCCCACAAACACCCTGGAAACGCCGGTGGAAATGATTTGTTTCAGCTGAAAACTGCCCAGTGGCCAATGTAGGTGGTCAGCGAGAGAAGCCTGTGATCTGCAAACGCAGAGTTGTGTTTGGCCCAACTTTTTGGCCCCRAACTGGGGAACCAGTGCTCGGCTCCCGGGAAGGAGAATTCACTGTTGAGCAAAACCTCCTCCGTCGGTGTCGTGACTCACACTGTGAGATCCGGGCTCTCTGTTGCCGGAAAGGTGTGGGGTGGGCTCCTGCGTCTCCACGCACCCTGGTGACTCAGGAGCCAGGACCCCGTGGAGGTCACTGGGTTCCCTCCGAGGCCAGAATGTCTAAATCACCTGGTTCTCAGACAATGGAGAAGGCACATCTGGGGCGGTCAGGGATCCATAATGAGGCCCCAGGGACACTCTTGGCATTTGCAGGACCTTTTGGAAATAGCCTTTGGTTGAACAAAGCATGTCATCAAGTATGATACATAACAATACTTTTTTTTTTTTTTTTTTTTTTTTTTTTTTACTTGAAAGAGAAGTCACTTTCGGATATAGAGGAAAAGTGAAGGATGTAGAATTCTGAGCAATGTCTAATTTTTTCCTGTTTTCTGTGGTCAACACGCCTTGCACTTGGAAAAGAGTCATCCTCGTAGGGAGGTGTACACGTAGGCACGTGCACACACAGCACACCTTACTGAAAAACTTGTCCCAAGGTGACCCTGGGGGGGTGGGTTTGGGCCTGAGCCTTGGTTTCTGGTAGTTTCTTCAGAGTCTGTTGCTTTCTGCTTTCCAGATGGGCAGCAGGTCTGGGAGATGGAAGCCTCCGTGGATAAAGACAAGAGCCAGCCCGTAAGCCTGGGGTGCGGACTTCAGGTGGCAGGGGGTCCCGAGCCCCCGCCCTGCTTCCTGTCTCTCTCCTGTTTCCTTGTCCCCTCCCTCCCTCCTTCCTCCGCCGCGTCTCCCACTGTGGCGGATCTGGCAGGCACTCAGTAAGTACATGTCGAACCTGCGTGAGTCCAGTCTCTATGGGGCCAGGCCCCCTGGTTTGAGCGGTGGGGTCTTAATAGACGCCGGTGCAGCCTCTTCCCTGGCCACGGCTGAAAGGCTCAGCTCCCCTTCAGTCGGATTTCACCTGTCAGCGCAGGGTGCCCGGCCGTGAGGTGGGCTGGCTGAATGCCCCTGGGGTCTTRGTGGGAGTGCGGACCCTGCTGCAGTTGAGTCCATGACGACCCCTTCCTTCCAGAACATGCTTTTTGTCGAGATCCCCGAGTATCGGAACAAGCACATCCGCACCTCCGTGAAGGTGAACTTCTACGTCATCAATGGGAAAAGAAAACGAAGCCAGCCTCAGCACTTCACCTACCACCCAGGTGAGGAGCTCCCGGACTCCTGTTCTGGTGGAGGCAGCACAGTCTGGAGGCACGGGACTCGGGACTCCTGTGGTCTGCCTCCAGCTGCGCTCCCTGGGGCCAGGGACTCAACGTTTCTGAGGCTCAGCTTTCTCATTGGTCAGATGGCCACGTCCTCATAAGAATTATGAAAACCAAATGCACATCAGACACTTGGCGCAGGGCAGGATAGGCTGGTGTCAATGATATCAGCTATTGTTATTTTCCCTTGGGTGGGGGAGGGAGAAGGCCACGAGTAGATGGGTATGAGGGGTTGATAAGCAGATGGCTGCTGTCACTGTCTTGGATGTGACCCTTCTAGAGGTCAGAAGTGGGCATGCCCTAAGGCTGCAGACCCTGGGTGGATGTGCAGTGGGTAGGCTCCCGGCGGCCAGTGGTGCTCCTGGGTGGATAACCAGGCCCCGAGCTCTCAGCTCCAGATGCACATGTTCCCAAGAAAGGTGATGACTGCCATCTGTCATTCATTCATTCATTTGTCCCCAAAGTATTTGAGCATGGGGACTGTAGACATGACACAGGAGTGGGACGGATGAACCCCGCCAACCTGAACTGACCCTGGGGCGGGGGGCTGCTAATAGAGAAGGCTGATGTGATTGGCACATTGGTGATAACAAGGCTGCAGAAGAGCTGGTCAGGAACAGCCAGGAAAGTGGGATTTGAAGTGAAAACATTCGTCTTCAAGCTCTTCTGGGGAATAGGCTAGAAATTTCCCAGAGAAGGACCTGCCGGACGCTTTCCCAGAGTGGAAGCCCGTAACCCAGGACCTGCGTCACCCAGGGCATCAGTCCTGTCTTCGGCCAGTCTGAGATCTTTCAGCCAAGGGGACACCTGGTCCTGGTGAGCTTGGCTTTGGAGGCATGTGTCCCTGCAAGGACACCCTGTCCCAGGACTGACGTCACACGTGGTCAGGAGTAGCGGTCAGATGACCAGACCACGTGGGCACCATTGGGTAGGCTCTGGGCTTCAGCTCAACCATTCCTTTCAATGTAGAGGGTGTCAGTTACCTTTTGTGGGGTGGTCTCAAATATTTGAGGCCACAAGGCGTCCCTGGGCCCGGCCTCCCTGGGCCCGGCCTCCGTGCTTACTCTTTTGGCTGAGCAGGGTTGAATGAGCCCTCTGGCCCCTGGCTGGGCCAGGGACCCAGATGCTGGCCTTCAGATGGCCTCTGGAGAAGTGACTTTGGTGGTTGGGTTGGCCCTGCTGTCCCACTCACCCCCTCCTCTAACCCTGGTGCTCCGGAGGCCACCTCAGGCCCGTCCTGCCACTAGTTCCTTTACTCCAGTGACAGGAAAAGCGGTTCCTGCACTTGGGGCCCCGGGGAAGGACCGTTGCTAGTGACTCGTGCCAGGCAGCGGTGACTCTGTGGGTAGTGGTGGTCATCGTGGCACTAATGGCAAGGTAGCAGCGGCAATGGCGGACTCCTCGCACCTTCTGCAGGCCAGTCGCTGGGCTCCGTGGCAGGTACCCAGGTCTCCGTCTCCCACCAGCCCCACTGAGCAGCTGGGATGTCTTCCACCAGGAACAGGCGGGGAATCCGAGGCCTGCTCTTGCTCCCTAAAGCACTACAGAGRGGAAGAGGGTGAGGGCTGCTCTCTGGTCATGCCCTCCTCCGGGCAATATCYGAGTGCCCATTAAACAGCTGTTTTTGGGGGCCCGGAGACCCAGCACTGGACGAAACAGATAGAAGCCTTCCCCGGGACAAGCTGGTGTTCTGGAGGAGGGTGGTCCGATCATCAGGCACCTAAGACAGGGACAGTACAGCAGATGGTGACATGTGGTAAGAAGGAAGACCGGGACAGGGGCAGGAGCTGCTGCCAGGGTCAGGAGGGTAGGGAAGGTTCGGTCTTCAAATGACGTCTTGAGAAATGGTGCTGTTTCTCAAGAAGCTGGACTGTGACTGTCCCAGGCCTGAGTCAGACCTTCCAGCCGCCTTTCCAGTTTGGAAAGACCTCTCACCTGAGATCATGGCACCATGAAGTGTCCACCTTGAGAGAACRGATTGCCCAGGGAGCCTTTCACCCCAGGGTAGTCAGTGGCAGAGCCCAGCCCTGGGATCCACCACGGGGACTGCCAACGCCTGTCCCCAGCCTCTGTCCGCTTGTCCTGGGGACACATCCGCAGCTCACTGCGGTGCTGAAGCGCRTGCTTTCTCTCCTTGCAGTCCCGGCCATCAAGACGGAGCCCACCGATGAGTATGACCCCTCTCTGATCTGCAGCCCCGCCCCCGGGGGCCTGGGGAGCCCGTCTTATTACCCACAGCACCCGATGGTGGCCGAGTCCCCCTCCTGCCTCGTGGCCACCATGGCTCCCTGCCAGCAGTTCCGCTCAGGGCTCTCGTCCCCTGATGCCCGCTACCAACAGCAGAACCCAGCGGCCGTTCTCTACCAGCGGAGCAAGAGCCTGAGCCCCAGCCTGCTGAGCTACCAGCAGCCCACCCTCATGGCCGCACCCCTGTCCCTCGCGGACGCCCACCGCTCCGTGCTGGTGCATGCCGGCTCCCCGGGGCAGAGCTCGGCCCTGCTCCACCCCTCCCCGGCCAGCCAGCAGGCCCCGCCGGTGATCCACTACTCGCCCACCAACCAGCCGCTGCGCTGCGGGGGCCACCAGGAGTTCCAGCACATCATGTACTGCGAGAACTTCCCGCCAGGCGCTGCCCGGCCCGGCCCGCCTCCCGTCAGTCAAGGGCAGAGGCTGAGCCCGGGCTCCTACCCCACCGTCATCCAGCAGCAGAATGCCACCAGCCAAAGAGCCGCCAAAAACGGACCCCCAGTCAGTGACCAAAAGGAAGTATTACCTGCGGGAGTGACCATTAAACAGGAGCAGAACTTGGACCAGGCCTACTTGGACGATGGTAAGAAGCTCTGCTTCCCCATTGCCGGTCGGGAAGGGCCCCGGCAGCTGCCCCAGAAGCCCACTGGGGGCCCAGGTGTAGACGCTTCGGGCCTCAGTGTCCGCCCGTAGTGAAGGGGCTTGTAGAAGATGACCTGTGAGGCCGTGTGACGGTCATCTCCCAGCAGGAGCTGGGGTGGTGACTGCTTCAGACGCCCCCTCCAGCCACCCCAGTAGAGAAAGCCAACAAGAGCAGTTCTGGTCACCGGAGTGTCCCTTAAGGTCACGAACTGGGTCCCTTTAACTGCTCCCACCCTCTTTCCAATTGCCAGATTTAGATTGAGGACAGGAAAAACAGAAAGGAAAGAAAGCTAACCTCCTTTTGTTCCTATAGAGAGAAATCCCACTTTCTAGCTGGTCTTTGTGTGTGGGGGGGAGGCGGGGAGAAGGCAGGAGCGGCCATTGAAAGGGGCTCTCAGAAGGCAGCCCGATGGGCAGGCTGTGGGCAGCCCTGCACCATGTGTCGGGGGAACAGAGGCGCATTGATAGCGGGCGGCAGTGGCTTCCGTGGTGGAGTGGCGGCCGGGGGGTGCCTGGGCTGAGGCGGAGGTGCCAGGAGGCTTTGTGTGGGTCTGAAGGTGCCCGAGGTTGTTGGCAGGAGGCCAGGCCAGAGGCGCATCTGGTTGGGCCGGCTGTGATGTGACCTTGGTCTGGCTCTCAGGAAGGAGAGGCCAGTCCTGTTGGTGGGACTCACCTGAGATCAGCAAGGTGGGGCCGGGGCAAAGAAGATGGGGCAGGCAGAGCGGCCTTCCCTGGGGGGGGGGACTTCGGGGGGGTGGAAGAAGCTAGGTGGTGGGCAGTTCCCAACAGGAGAGGAGACCCTGGCTGGCTGGCTGGCTGCCCCCCGCCCCTCCAGCCCCAAAGTGCATGTCACTGTTGGAAGAGCCCTTACCCAAAATGTGTGGGACCAGGGGTGTTTCAGGTTTTGGAATATTTGCCTAAGACCTTACCTGAATCCCAAAATCTGAAATCTGGAATAACTTAAAATTTCTGAGCATCATGTCAATGCTCAAAAAGTTTTGGGTTTCATAGCTTTTTGAATTTTCAGATTTATGGATATTTAACCTGAGCTTCAGAACCTCACTTGTTTAGGGAGATTAACTCTCAGGGACCCAGCTAAGGAGTAGGAAGCGAGGCAGAGAGCTTCAGAACAGCGCCCGTGGGGAGAAGGACCAGGTGTGAAATTTCAGACTCTCCGGTGTTGACCCAGGAACTGTTGACTCCTTTACACGGTCCTGATGAGCCAGGTTAGCCGGGGGTTCTGTGACTTCTAGTAATTTCTATTAAAACTATCCACCAAAAAACGTCCTCCGGTCTCATCAAGCAAAGGCTCCTGGGCCGCCTACCACAGGGTCGCACCGCCCCATGAGCTTCACAGCTGCCCCCCAGGCTGCTGTGTTAATAATGGGTTTTCCGAGCCTGGGGAGTCAGGTGCAGCGGGCCGTAGGGACACCGTGCTCCCTCTGAGTGGGAACCCTGTGCCCAACCCATCCCTGGGCCGTCTGCAGCCCAAGAGCTGAGATCAGGTCTCCGTGCTTCCTCTAACGGGGGTTGCCAGAGTGGAGAAGGAAGTGGACGGATGCCCCTGGGAGTGGGCAGGATGCCCCGGGGACAGGTCTGGGACTGGGCCTCCCCATCTGCGCCTAGGGGACTGTGTTGGAGGCGAGGTGCTTTATGACTAGATGAGCKGCTGCGCAGGGCAGGAGCTTGCCCAGCGACAGTGGGCTCTGGTCTCCAGGGTGAGAAATGTGCTGGCCGCTTTCACACTGCCCCTCGCCCACATTGAAGAGGAACGGTGAGCACTTCTGTTAGGGACCTGCCATGTCCAGAGGCCATCAGGATGCCTCAGTAGGTGGGGATCCACAGATGGTTTGCACACATCATAGAGGAAGCCGCCGAGTGTGGAGACCTAGGGCCTCCCAGGGCACCCTCTGGACAGGGCAGCTTGCAGCGTGGGGCAGGCGTTGCGGGGGAGGAATCCATGGTTTTTGAAAGGTTGGGAGGACCTGAATTGAAGGTTTGTGTTTTTTTTAGAGAGACAGAATTTTTTTTAATATTTATTTTTTAGTTTTCGGTGGACACAACATCTTTATTTGTATGTGGTGCTGAGGATCGAACCCAGTGCCCCGCGCATGCCAGGCGAGCGCGCTACCGCTTGAGCCACATCCCCAGCCCCAAAAGCAAGGTTTTGAAAAGTGCATTCTCCATGGGGCTTCTTGTCCTCTCAGTTCTCTGCCTTCGAGGTCCTGGGCCTGGGGGCGYGGGGAGTAGAAAGCATTCTCCAGGCTGGCCACAGGGCAGCAGGGGGTGCTGGGCGGTGAGTGCACCCCTGACCTGAACCCCCGGCTCTGTCTGGCCTGGCCTCATGTGCCCAGTGATGAGCCACGTCGTGGCCACTGGAAGGATGCAGGTGCAGCCTCCCGATGGCTGGGGCTTCAGCTCCCCCCCCACCGGGCGGCCTCCTGGCTGGGCATCCAGCGCACATTCCCAGATGTCCCTCTGCGAGGACGTGGGAGTCAGACTTCACGGTCTGCTGTTCTGTGTTTACTTGTGACAAGTAGACGGGTCACGTCTCCGTCTGGCTGGGGCAGGTCCCAGGCCTCGGCTCCTTCCCCGTCCCTTTCCTGTGTGGGTGCAGGGTTCTCTCACGAGAGGCATCTGGCSCACGAGCCCAGGCCGCGTGGCGGCACAGTGTGCTCCAGGGTGGGGGCTTCTCGGATTTCCCTTAGGATTCTGCAAAAGTTGGCTTTCCTCAAAACCTGGGTGAGAGCCTGGCTTCTGTGTGCTGGGGGCCCCGGAGGGGTCTGCAGCTGGAGGAGGAAGGGGGCAGGCGGGCAGCAGAGAACAGGAGGCCTCCAGCTCTACACAGATGCACACGCTGAGCTGGAGGTGGGCCTGGCCTCTCCCCTGGGGTCCAGGAGCCCCAGCATTTGGCGCTGTCTCCCCACGCCTGGCCCAAGCTCCAGAGGGCCTCATGGGGCATCCTCCCGCCTGCTCACGGCCTCTTCCCAGTTGGCCTCCCTGCACACAGAGCTGTGTCTTGGACGCTCTGTTCTTCCTTGCAGCCCAGGACTCTGCTTCTGCTGCCCCCCCCACCCCCCCCGCAAAACACTTGCAAAACACTCTTGAAATAGYGAAGCGGGTGCTACTGCAGGGCCCCGTGCTGGACCCACCACCCACCCCGCACAGCCCCTTCCTCACCGATCTGTGGAAGCAGAGAACGTGCTCACTCCCACCTGTCTTCTCCCTGCTTTTGTCCCCTTCTGTGACATCTCCTGTCCCAAAGCCCCTGACGTACTCGGGGAGCACCCACAGCTCCTCAAAGTAGCTGGACCTGTGAGTCCCGCCCTTCCCCCCCCCTGCTCTCCTCCCCAGCCTTAACCCTTCCTCCTTCCCTCTGTCCTGGGCCCTTGACCTCTCTCCTTACCTCGATGTCCACCGCCAACTCCTCTCCTCACCTCTAAGTACTAGCCAGCTGCCGCTTTATGCCAGGCACCCCCTGGGCCTCAGGGGCACACTGGTGGACAAATCAAGTGGCGTCCTTGTTCTCGTGGGCGTGTTTTTTGATAGGGTGGACATTAGTATATAAGGTGACAAACGAGGGACCTTCACACAGCAGTGCAGGCTTTGAGGGAGACCCAGCAGGTTGGGAGCTGGGGGGCGGCCGGCTGGGGGTCCCTGCAGAGCAGCTGAGCCGAAGGAGCAGGGGAGATGGAGCAAGGGCGTCAGGGAGGGAGGGAGCCGTGGTGGCAGAGGCCGCAGAGTTGGAGGCCACTCTGGTGGCCACTGAAAGATGGGGATAGCAGGGAGGCAGGAGAGCAGGCACCTGGTGCTCCCGGGCCCACAGGGGCTCAGTCCTCTCCCCGTCTGTGGGGTCTGTTCTTCAGTCTCATTTACTCGAGGTCAAGCTTGGCCCAAAACGTCCGATGGGAAATACATGGTCCATACGTTTTCTTAACCTAATGAGTAAGTTTGAAGTGACTCGTACCAGGGAGTGTGGTCACAGCGGCCGTGCTCGTTGCTGGCCGTCCTTGTGAGCCTGCCGCTGCGCCTGATGTGCAGTTGGGCTTTGCCACAGGTGCGAGGGTGCGGGGAGCCCTGGCACGCTGGGGACCTGTGCTCTCGGGGACCTGTGCTCTCGTGTCCCCAGGCCGAGGGGGCTACTGCTCTGCGTTCGAGACGAACCGGCCCTGGAAGGCGAGTCCCAGAGCAGGAGGGTGACGTCCTGTGCAGCTGAGGGCCGTGTGTCCTCCACACACCTGGAGCTGCCCAGCGGGCACTTCCCTACAGTGGAGGGGACAGCTGTGCATTTAAATGCCCCCTCCCAGGTGAGCGGGAGATGCTGGGGAAAGTGCCCCAGACGTGACTCCCCGGGTGCCGTTGACGCCTCTGCTGAACTGGGCCTTCGGAGGTCACCAGGCCACCTCACCACCAATGCCACCACAGGCCTTGGGGTGCAGCCCAGCAGCCTCGAGACACAGCGTAGACTAGAGGACTGAGGGGGAGGCCTGCGGTCTCTGCTCAGGAGATCCTTGACCCCGTTCTAGAAACCTCCTCTGGAGAGAGGATGTGGTCTGCTACTCTCTGGGGCCGGTGGCCGGCGAGGACGGCACGTGCCGCGTGTGCGAGCGTGAGAGCTTTCGCTTGTGGAGGCGGCACCTAGGTCACCGCTCGTGGTCGACTCTGTTCCTCAGGACTTCGTGGAAGTCCTTGGAAATCCATGCCCAGATACACGGATTGAATGAACTTGAATATTTTGCTCTGTATTTAAATATCTAAACAACGGACATCCAGAAACCGGCAGTCTACTCTGCCTGGGTCACGGGTGGGCCACGCGACACTGTGCCTGCATCATGGCAGAATGTGGTTAGTGCCCCAGAAACCCACGTGTCCTTCTGTCCCCTCCACGAGGCGCCCACCCTCCCGCCTTCTAACCGCAGAGGTTCATTTTGTTTTGCAAAC